AATATTGATCACAGAAACACGAATGTGTGCAGCACATGCTACGTACGAGTGTATTTAAATAAATATTTGATGGAAATTTAAATAAACAGAAACGAAGCCAATAAAAGCAAATCAATACGAAGGGACTGTTCCTCAGCAGGTTCCTGAGGATTATTTCTCTGGTCGTATTTGTCCCTGTTGAATGCTGAAACTATTAGAGCACATCCTCGTGCCAGTAGTAGCCAGCAGTCTTTGAATCGTTTTTGCTTTGGCTTTATGCACTCTTCCAATCTGTCAGGACACACACAGATCCTTTATATTAGCCTTGATTGAGTTTCGAACTCGAGAACTCGAGTTTGATGGGAATTTGCAATTGCCGGGCTATGGCCTGGCCCCCGCCCCCGTAGAGCAAGCATTTTCAGACTAGTATGTGGCAACAGAGGGGAAAATCTGACAGATCCCCTGCCCCATTGTCATGGCACGCCCACACTTGCGGCCTGGCAGGTAAACATTCTAGCTAAACCCGAATGCCACTTGCACGAGGACGAGGACGAGGACGAGGAGGAGTACTCATACTCATACTCATACGAGTTTGCACAATTTCAATTCTAGGATTACATGCCAAAGCCCTCTCGTTTCCATTCCCCACTCAGCCCACTCAGTCGGCAGGCAGATCCTAAGGCCACAATCTTCGTCTTGGGCCTGCAATTATGCCCGAAATTTTGCGCAATTATTATGCAACAAGTACAGAGTATTGTCTGCGGAAATGTTCAATGTTCAAGAGGCTGTTCGAAGTGTTTTTGTGGGGCGTGTTGGGGCATGTCATGTTCTTGGGGGAAATGTAAAATTTGAATTACCGCAGAGGCGTAGGAGAGGACTTTATGTCAGCACCAGGTCACACATGGCCCCCGTCCTTGCCTCTCTCTCTCTCTCTTTCTCTGGCTCTCCTTGAACACATTTTCCACTTTGAAGCCAAAAAGGCAAAATGTCCGTTGGGAGCCGACGGCAGCGCCAGCGCCACCGCCAACGTCAGCAGCAGGCAGGCAGGCAGGCGGCAGGCAGGCATCGTTGAAAGCTTATAAAGTGCAACAGCATTGCGGTAGAGGCTGCTCCTTCCTTGCACGTGACTGCCCTGCCAATGCATTAAGGGCGGCGAAGGGTAGGGCGGAAAGTGTGGCAAGAGTGTGTGCCACCGCTAAGCGCTGCTGATGAAGTCGCGTCCAAAATGCAACGTTGCAACATTGCAAATTGAAAACACGAAACTAAAGGTGCTGACACGGCCAGCTCAGCGACAAAGCGACAAAGCAACAAACTAGCCGCAAAGTTAATTTACCCGAGCCCCGCCTCCGCCTCCGTCCTTCCCTCGTTGCCAGCGTTGCACGCACATCATGTAACTGGCATTTCCGCTTGCAAAATGGCGCACACACACTCGACACACAATGCGGGGTGGGTGGGGGGCAAGGGCGACGCGTCGGCCACTAATTCTGTAATTTCAAACGTGCCGCCTAAGTGCACAACTACAAAGTCCGTGGCCCCCGCCATCTATTTACGGTCAGCATGGGGTCCAAATCCAGGTCCAGGTGGGGGCAGTGGCGGTGGCGAGTAAACGGCTAATGACGTGGCGCCTTCATCGCTCCTGCCACGGACACGAACACTCTGTGTGTGGTGCACTTTAATTAAAAATAACTGTGGCTGCAGAATGCAGAATTACGCACACAGTTTTTAATTAGGAGAAATATGAGTAGAGCTCCCCCCTCCCTCTCTCGCTCTCTCTCGCTCTCTGATTGCAGCTTTAAATAAATAATTATTTATCATTTTAATTCGAGTATCGGCCAATGTAGACATTTTCGCTAATTAGTTTGTTGAGCGCGGTGCGTCGGATGCTTCTACGTTTTATCCTTAATGGAGTCCTCTGCTGGATCAGATAATGGGATATCTGTTTATCCTATTCGCCCACTCAAGCCTCCACTCAGACCCCCACTCAACCCCCATCGCTTCGAGAGCACTCACACACACATACGAGTATATTGGCATCCCGCATGGGGCTAGGCTTTCCTCCATTTTGTATGCCACGATGGACGCGATTTCCGCTGCTCATTTCCGGTTTGATGTGCGTGACCTGCTGCACGGAAAGGCATACATGCCCGGCCCCGCCCCCGCCCCCGCCACCGCCCCCGCCCGCGCACACTAATTACTGCTGTCTGTATCGGGGAACCGTCTATCTACTCTGCTCTACCGGCCCTCAATGGAAATTATGCAAATGTTGACTTGGCTGACGGACAGGCATTGTCCTGACCAAGGGTGGGGGGGGGGGGCGTGATGGTGGGATATGCGCTTTTGTGGCAGCTAAACGCTTTGGCAAATGCATCATTTGCATGGCTTTAATTGCATCTAATTGTTTGCATTTTAGCGAGAGGCAGAGAGTTATATGCATTGTGCATGAGGTTGTGAGAAATCCCACATGGCACGGCATCCACAGCCGCAGCCACGCGATTACTTTCTGGTATGCTGGAGTCATGTACTCCTGCACGTACTCGCACTCGCACTCGCACTCGCATTCACATTCACATTCGTGCAATTTCCGGCCAAGTCGGTCATGAATTATGCAAGAAATCGCAGTCTACTTTGTTGATGAAAGAAATTTTAGCTGTTTTTTCTGATGGTGAGCCTGCTAATAGAATTTTAATGATGCTTTGATGTTCATTAAGGAGGCTGCTGATTCAATCAGAGTACACAAGTAAGAACCGTGTATTGGAGTACTCTGAATTACATTTATAGTTGATTGAAGTACATTAATGTGGTCTCTTTGAGTGCCTAATCCTGCAGGAGGAGTCGTAAAATGGCTCCCACATTCGTTAATGTTTTTCCCAGTTGGTTTCCCCTCGAATCCTCTAAAGTAACAGCCCTTTAAAGGGGATATTCCGGGTCTATGAATATGTATAGAATGTAAATTCTTCTTCTGATCGTCATCTATTATCATGTACCCTTCATCTCGACTGTACTCCCAGTACGCCCGATTCCATGGCAATCTCTTTAGTATCCTCGCATTGGCTTTAAAATTTATCGAGTTAATTCTACTGCATAATTCCTGTCTCTCAACTAAGCTGATAATCCCAGTTGTTTCGAGTTTCCAACTTAATTTTCGATTTATGGCAGTCAAAAGTGCAGCCCCCTTGGCCGCCTTTGGCCCCTTTCGACGACGGGCTATAAAAATAAAAAATTTGTTAACCAAAGTGCGCATTAAACTCTTAATCTTTAGTGTTGACATTAAATTTACAATAGCAACTAAGCGAAGTTGCAAGAGAACCAGGGAACAGGGGCCAAGGACCAGGGCCAGCCACACCCACAGACGCCCACAAAATGCGGGCGCGAACAAAGTAGTATCTACACACACACACACACAGAGACAGAGTGAGAGAGGGAGAGAAGAGTTCAGGAATTTATTACCCAATTTGAAATTGCAAACGAGTGCGTGATAAAGTCCTGGGATGTTGGGTGCTGCCTTTTGCCTTTTGCCTTTTGCCGTCATGGTTGTTGCTCTTAGTCTTGTGTTTTATTCAAAACGCCATTGTTTATGCCAGGAAGTGGGAGGGGCAGAGCAGAGCAAACAAGTGCAGGTTGCATGCAACGTCAGTGGCGGTCAAGGTGCCCAAGCAAACAAAGGACAATGTCAGGACACCGTCAGAATAGCCAAGCCAAAGACCTGCAAAGAAACGATATAATCTACTGACCCGACAATGGGATACCCGGTGATTAGTGGGGGGGATATGGGTTCCTAAAAACTAAATGTTCCTTAAGAAGGAGGTGGGACTCTTTCCAGGACGAAAAGGCTTGAATCAGGGAACCTTTTTCCACCATTCTTGCTGTATATTTGAATGTTTTTTTCTTGATGATGCCCAGGAAACGTGACGGCGCTCGCTCTAATGCTCATATTCTCCGCGATTTGGCGACTATATCTACCTGCTGATCACATTAGCACGAGCACAGCATACCCAGCAATACGGGGGTATAATAAACCGGACTGGCATGTTAAGAGCAAAACTGTTGGCACACTTTGGAGCTGGCTTATGACTGGAGGACTTGGAGGACGGGATTGGGGATGGCAATCTTAATGGCTCGACGCTAGTGCTGGTGCTGGAGCTATTGCTATTGCCAGTGCCAGTCAATGCTGCTGAAGGTGCGGGTGGAAGCTGCAGCATGCGGCACGTGGCAAATGCCGAAAGTGATTCCATGCAAATGTCGAGGGCCATTTCAATGCAAATGCGCATGAATGGCAACGTTGTTTCACTCGCAGGATCCCCGCACCTCACCGCATTTTCATTTTAAATATTTTCCGCTCTACCCTGCTCGGAAAACGTGAATGCAGTCGTGGCTCCCGATTCCCATTTGCATTTGACGTCAGCAGGAATCCGCCTCACCTTTGCCGCAGGCTTTCCTTCCACCCACTTGCCCCCTCTGCACCCCCGCCTCGTTGGGTGTTGCGGGGTCATAAATTTGTGTCCCATTCAAAGATTTAAATATATTTCCATTCCGCATTTTGGGTCGAGATTTTCAAGAGATTCAACGAATTTATTGCTCCGCAAATAAATTCTATTCGAAAGAGTTTTGGGAATTGAAAGAGCAGCTTAAGTCTATAGAAACCTAAAGAGAGGGCTCTCCAGATTGAACAATGGATGTTTATTGCATATCCGAGCGCCTGAAGGTCTCTGAAAATTGTCATCATTTCATTAGTAATCCCAGCATGGAACCCCCTGCAAAACTTTCACCCAAGACATTAATTTTTAAGCAGCTGATAGGAGATTCCCCCGACGTTAATGGCTGGGGGTTGAGGGCTGAGGGCCACGCCCAGGCCATCTAGAATTTCGCAGCGATTCCCCTAATAGCAGCCGGCCATTAGACTCAAGTGGCAATGCGGCAATGTGGCAAAGTTGCGTCTAAACTTTCCATTCTGTTCCATTTGACTAGCAACTACTTAATCCGCCATCAAATACTAACTTTTTCTCGTGTTCTCTTCCTTGCAGGCTGGAAATCGCAGACTGGAGGCAGTCTCTGGGGGCGAACGAGGATTAACTTCTTCTCTGCAGGAGCGAGGAGAGTATTGTTTAAGGCCATCAGAAGACAAACAAAGGGCCACGGCCACCCAGAGGACAAAGGGCTGGGGCAAACGTGCATGAAGTGAAATCTGGAGGCTAACCAGGCGATGAGACGAGTGGTCCATCAATTACCCCCAGCCAGCGCCCACCTGCCCCGAGTTGTCCATTAAAACTGAAGAAGGATTGGAGGAGTTGAGGAGTGGAGGAGTGGAGGACACAACAGGTTGCCTTGGGGGTCACATAAATCCCGCCACTGAGTTGAGCCTGAACCCCGAGCCACATAAGTGGGCGACAAGTACGTGACTTAATCAGCACACGCAGCAGGAGCCTCCCGGAGCAGCCAGCCAGGAGCAGCTGAGGAGCAGCCACAGGAGCCCACGCGGCTGCACGCTAACGAGGCGACATCCTGGCCATTTCGCAATGATTTCATGCACGAGCTCGGCACCCGTCAAAGACCACTGAGCAGCAGCAGCAGCAGCAGCAGCAGCAGCAACATGACAGATGTGTCAGCGGCAGCTGGCGGCGCCACAGCTCCGGCGGAGACCGCCGCCACGTCGTCGTCGGCGTCCAAACCGCTGACCAATGGCGCCAACAAGACATCAACGGCAATGGCAGCGCCAACGACAACGCCAACAACAGCTGCCACCGCAGCAGGAGCGGCGGAGGCAGGAGCTATCGCCTCGGTGGCCGGCATAAGCAATCAGGTCAAGTTGGAGCACCACCACCGCCAGAGCAATAACAATCGGCCAGTGGCCCCGTACCCGCCCGTGCCCGCTGCCAAGCCCAAGCCCACTCCCACTCCCACAGCCGAAAGCAAATTCAAGTCTACATCCCGCGAGGTAGACGTCGCCTTGAGGCCAACACCTGCGAGGAGTTCCACCATCAGTCCCGGCGTCAGCATTCACACCCAAACGATACAGCAGGAGAGTAGCAGCGCCAAGCCGGGGATGTCCTCGTCCTCGTCCTCCGCCCAGCAGGATGTCGATGAGGTGGCGCGTCTGTTCGAAGAGAAGCCGGAGGCCTTCGAGAAATGGCTGACGGAGCGGGCACCGCCCGAGGCTCTCAGCCGCCTGCAGGAGTTCATCGAAAGCCGGAAACCGCTGAAACGGCCTTCGGTCACCTCGGATCTCTTCCAGCAATGGATGTCCGCCTCGCCCACAGTGCAGCAGGTGAGTGGTGCAGGGTTTATTCAATAAATGGGATGGCCCTGAGAGAGGAAGAGGTATACTTTAAGGACGATGTTAGTTGGCATTGATTAGAGCGTATTACTTCGGGATTGGCGATTGGGGCGATTCCAGTAAGCCAGCGGTTGAGGAAGAAATGCAATCTTTTAGCCAAGATTTAGTTCTGATCCACGCACCAGCTTGGCCGGATGCCCAAGCAAGATTTAAATGAAAGTTGTCTTAGCACTTGTTCCACTGCAAATTAGTTTTCGTAGCCAGAACGAATCGGATTGCTGTTCCACTCCCCCACTCCCCCTCCTCTCCTCATGCTCCTCTCTGCCCTTCGCTTCTGGCCATCTCATTCATTGGAGCTATCAGAGCCATCTCCTTCCTCAAACCAAAATGTTAGCAAGTGCAAATGCAGAGCCAAGTGGCAATGGAAATGGCAATGGCAATTGCAGTCCGCCCAAGCACTCAACTATCTCGCAGATACACATCCACTGTGATGTCTGTTGCTGCTGCTTCTGCTTTGTATGTGTGTGTGTGGGTGGGTGGGGTGATGTATCTGTGTGAGGTTGTTTTATTTGCCACGATTTCGACTCTGCCTCCCCCTTCGCCCCCCACCGTTTCGCTGTCTCTGCCTCTGTTTATATTTGTATTTGTTTTGTTGTACTTTTGGCACTGGATTTCCGCTTTTATTTAACTTTTGTTCGCTTTTTGCAGAGCGAATTAACTAAATTGATATTTTCACAAATTTTCCTTTGGCTTCTGCTTGTCTTGTCTCTGTCTTTCCGTCTCTCTGTTTGTGTGTCTGCGTGTGAAAAGCGCTAATTGGAAAAACTCACTCGCACACATCCCTCGTACCAAGGAGGAGGCACTGATTGGGACAGGTTCAGGACTTTCCACTTTGTTCCACTTCATGGCTTCCTGCTTTTATTTAATTCAACATTGAACATTAAGTTACACATACGCCACGTTGCCCCTCCTCTACTGCAGGCTTCTCCTCCGAACCCTCCCCCCAAGAAAATCGACAGTTAAAAAGCATTCGAAATATTTTTATGGTTTATATATTGACAGCATCCGCCGCCCCACAGGTCCCTCGAACGCGGGCGCATTGCCAGTGTCAAGTATTTTTCAATTAAATTTTATTCGATATGTTCCACAACAGCTGCAACAGAAAGGAGGAAAATAAAACGAAAGGCGGTTGAAAATATGAGAGCTCGCAATATTCGAAAAGGGTTTCAGTTGCTGAAGGGAATTTCAAGGCTGTCTTAAGGATAGTAGTGTGTTCTCTTGCTAAGAGATGAATTAGAAGAGTTTTAACTCCGAAATATCTTTACCTAGGGGAATCTTCCATGCCATTCTTAGCCCACAGATAACTTAGCGTCGATTGTGCAATTGAACAATCGTTCTTGGAATACCAATGAGTCGTTCATTGATTGCTAATCCACATATTATACTTCCCAGATCAATAAACTCCTTTCGCCACTCTTAAGCGCCTCCCTGTGACCGTTTTTACCTACACAAATAGGTGTACAGCAGGGAGTCAATCACTTGTTATTCGTTATACTTGTTTGCTGCTTTGATTGCTCGTGCTAATGGCTATCAGATAAGTGCTTGAACTCGAACTCAAGCACTCAATTGAACTCCTTTGACCCGTGCCAACTGCCGCTTAGCCGCACTCATGCATTGCGTATGACCTGAGTCGCCCTGAGTTGGCGGGAGTCCTTTTCAATGCTCATTTCTCTGGAACATCGAACAAAATTATGAACGATCTCTTGCCTCTGTCTTGCCTACGACATCGAGTGCTGGGCTGCCTGCCTATTGACTGCAGCTGGCTGCACAGAAACAAAAACCAACAGAAGCGCAAGAAGAGGACTTCAGCACTCACCTGCCACTTGTGAAATCAAAACTATAAGGTACTTGTACCACGTGCCATGGGAAAGCTCTCTTATAGATGTGTGTGTGTGTGTTTTTGTTTCGTGAAGGGGAAAACTAGGCCAGGCCAAAGTCAACTGCCAAGTGTCCTGTGTCTTGTGCAACAAAGCCCACCTTTGAGCCCTTTCGCCGATTGTTGGAGCTTTGCGAGTGCAATTTTTTCCCATTCTCCCCCCACTCCTGCCTCGTTAGCTGGTGAATAGCAGGTAAACCCCTGTTTTTTCTTGTCGATATTGTCAATTTATTTAAGTGCTGTTACGCAATGCCAGCTGCAGTCCCTGGCCAGGATATTGCCAGCCATAGTCCATACAGAGACGGAATAATCCCCATTAAAATTCATTCCGATTTAATGCTTTCCCCTTCCTGCTGGCCAAAAAAGGACAACGAAGGAGCGAACTTTTTCCGATTTTATTGTCTTTTCTGGGGAAACACAAATGAATACGAGTACAACTCAAATTTATTGGCATTGGCAGAATTTCAAATGTACTTAACATGAAAGAGCATGTTTTTATTTGACTTTGGTTTTAATTTTTCCGAGTTTTATTCAAAGAATTTGCATTGTTTTTCTTGTGTGTTTTCAACTTTCAATTCCATGCAAACAAAGTGAAGATTATTAAGCGCTTTCCGCTCGGTTTTCCTCTTCTTTTTCTTTGGACTTTCTTGCTCATCTCCGAGGAGGCTGCTTCGCCTGCTTCAGACACTCTTTCAAGGCGAGTTTTAATCGCATTTAATCGTTTAATTACTTGCTCAAGGATCTTTAACTTGTTTTTTACTCAAGTGGTTTTCGCGTTAAACCTCCCTAGTTCAACTAGGGAAAATGTGGAAGGAAAAGTTGAATGGAAAGCAAGTGCGAACAGCAAAGATTAAATTTCCTATTTGTGGAGGTCTTGTTGCAGTTTGAAGGTATTTTCATAGGGAAATCAATATTTCGGCTATTAAACTAGACTCAAACTCTTGAGCAACAGCCTTCTACCTGACTATCACCTAGTAGAAAAGCACATTTCTCCTGCCCCAGAGTCCACAGACACTTGGGAAAATATTCCGCCTACCTTTCATGGTCATCCAGGCCACAAGTCAAAAGAAATACATAACTACGTTAAATTAACCAATAAGCCAAATTATAAATAATAGGTACATTCGAGTTCATTCAAATTTAAACGTACAATTATCGATATTCTGGCAGTGGCACGTGGAAATGTTTGTAGAACGAGCAACAGAAGCGAAAACAACAAATTGCTTTAATTTGTCAGTGGAAAATGATAGGGAAGGAGGTGCAGTGCGAGGTACATTGGGACTGGTACTGCCATATGATAGGAGGAGGTGGCAGGAACTTATATACAGAGGGATTATGGAATGGGATGTGGCCGTGGATTGGTACACGGCACGCAATATTCCCAGTTCTTGGGTTAATTGGCCGCTCGCACGCAGGTCCCGGCCCGAAGTTGGAGTCCATTTTCGGTATTCAATTACCACGTTGTTGCTGCCAAGAGCTCCACGCTCTGGCCAAGAGGCAGGGACTGCCAACTGCTGCTAATAGACACCCTTTGAACCGGACCAAGTTCATTTCCAGGAAGAGCAGGAGCCGTTGCCCGGGTTAAATGGCCAGCAATCGAATTGGAAAGGGAAGTATAGGAAAAGGAACAGTATATAATTAAATATTTAAAGCGACTTGTGTCTGGCCGAGTAATACGAGTAATAATGCCAGCTGATAAAGCTATTTATAAGAGAACTAATTAAATAGCGGAATTATACCACTTCCATCCTGCCGAACCCTGTCGAACCCTGTCGAACCCTGCCGAACAGCAGAACAGCACAGCAGCAGCAATTCAATTATTTCCCAGGCATGTCCTCTGTGCTCTGGACCAGAGTCTATGCCTTTCATTAATGTTTATGGTCTGTCCTTGCAGAAATCGCCGAGGAGCCTGTCGAACTCGTCGGCCTCCTCCACGCTGCCGGAATGCCGCCGCCATTTGATGGACCTGGACGAGGGCGAGCTGTTCATGGAGCTGATTCGCGACGTGGCCAATGAGCTGGACATCGATGTGCTCTGCCACAAGATATTGGTGAACGTGGGGCTGCTCACCCATGCGGATCGCGGCTCCCTCTTCCTGGCCAAGGGCACGCCCCACAACAAGTATCTGGTGGCCAAGCTCTTCGATGTAACACAAAAGACAGGTGAGTGATTCGCCCGTCTCTGAATCTGTGAATTGGAAATGCAATGCCTCCCTTTTCCAATTGCCAATTTTGTTGTCCTGAGTGGTGGGCGTGGACACAGGTAATCCCGCTTTAATTAAGGCGAACAATGCACAAAGGAGGGCACTGCGGAATCGGAAATATAATCCGAACAGAGTGCACGAGGAATGCCACTGATGGAGGAGGAGCTCGTGCTGAAAACTAATCAAGATGGGATCGTATGGCAATTGCCCAACATTGCCAACTCAATCTGTTTAAATATTCATTAATTAACTTTCATTCGGGGATCGGTTCGGGGACCTCTTGCCAGAGGCCCACCCACTGGATGATTATAAATTGTCACTCATTAGCGTCCAGGCCGAATAATTTCTGGGGCAACGGCGAACGCATTAGCAAAATTAAGGCCCAAACGGAAGGGCATTAAAAGTTTTTGGCAGAACCAGAGTCATAAAGCCGAAAACGTCGCCATCAAATGAGAAATAGATGCTGCTAGCACAAACACACACACAGATACGCACAGATACTCACAGTTATTCATATAGAAATGCGTTACATTCGTAATGAATCTTTGGCCCAGAGCCGTGAGTAAAAGCCACCGCTTCCGCTACATAATTCAGTGGGGAAAATGCGAAAAAGATTAGACCTGGCAGCAGCCAGCACCCACCCAACAGATACGTATCCACAAGGTTATCCCCGACACAAAGATACTTTCATGCGAGTGTACGGTATGTGTGGGGCACTGCGATTATGATTTGGGGGCCGGCACTCATGCAAATTCACATTTGACTTTTTGGTGCTCAGATTTTTCGGGGGAAGCAGCTCTTGGTGTGTTTTATTTATTATTTTCACATTTTCTTGGAAGGGAGGGCCCAGCTCCCACCGTTCACTGTTCGCATGGCAGAGGGAATATTTTGCCTATAAATTTAATATTTATTTAGATGCTTGCCAGCCAGCTTTATCGGGCCCTAAATACGGTCTGCTTCGAATGAACTCATTGTGGGCTCTGCCTTTGCCCCTGTCTACATTAACAGTGGGATAATGCTCGTATCTATAAAATATTAAGTGTATCCAGAGCTGCGGCTCTTGCTTTTCCCCATTGATTTGGCTTCATTTGAATCCCGTCTGATTGCAGCACTCAAGGATGCCGTGACGCGTGCCAGTGCCGAGGAGATTATCATTCCCTTCGGCATTGGCATTGCCGGAATGGTGGCCCAGACAAAGCAGATGATTAACATCAAGGAGGCCTACAAGGATGCCCGATTCAATTGCGAAATCGATCTGAAGACCGGCTACAAAACGAACGCCATCCTCTGCATGCCCATCTGCAATTACGAGGGCGACATCATAGGCGTTGCCCAAATTATCAACAAAACGAATGGTAAGCCCCTCCATACCTTCCATACCCAGTGATTATGAATCATGGTTTGGACTGCTCTATCCTTTTCTTAGGGTGCATGGAATTCGACGAGCACGATGTGGAGATCTTCCGCCGGTATCTGACTTTCTGCGGCATTGGCATACAGAACGCCCAGCTCTTCGAGATGTCCGTCCAGGAGTACAGGCGCAACCAAATCCTCCTTAATCTGGCCCGCAGCATATTCGAGGAGCAGAACAATCTCGAGTGCCTGGTCACCAAAATCATGACAGAGGCCCGCGAACTCCTCAACTGCGAGCGCTGCTCCGTGTTCCTCGTGGACCTCGACTGCTGCGAGGCGGTGAGTCGTGGTGTGGGTCTGGTCCCGGGACTCGGGACTCGGGTATCGGGTATCGGGATTCGATTTGTATGGATTCCGGGGAATTTCAAATTAATTTACTGCCATTTTTCATCCGCCCACCTTTAATTGAGGATCGCCCTTTGCGTGGCAACTCGGCTGTGGTCGGTCCGCGTCCACGACACTGTCCGCAGCGTGTCCGTGGCGGGGTCCCTGTCTGTGTCACGCTGTCAGTTTCATTAAAATTGTTTAAACGCCACCGCGTCGGCCATTTTGTTTGTATTTGTCAACTTTTTGTCGGTGGGCGTCATTGGCAGGGCAGGGCACCCCAAGGAAATTAAAATGTGCAATTTACATTATGCTACTTGGGGACACGACTCTCAGTGGGGTCTGGGGTGGGGTGGGGTGGGGTGGTGCTGTTGTTTCGCAATGAACAAGTGTCAGGAATTACGTGGAATTGTGACAGCTCCTCCGGAACAGAACCCGCGGAGAGATGGGAAATTATCCTCGAGGCGGGGCAATTTTCATTACGGCGAAAATTTTCGTTGATTGCCAGCTATTATTTGGTGCTGTCTTGCAGCATTATTTGATGCTGCTCAGTCGCGTTGAATTGTAAATAAATCAACCAAATAATATGCATGGGGCACAACGAGTCTTTAAATTAAACTCAAAGCAAAGAAGGAGGTTCTATAAGTAGGAGTACATCAGGGACTATTCAAAATATCTGCGGCTATAAACTAACCAAAAGTTATTTTCGCAAACCACTCATGAATATTTAATGTGCTCCAATGAGTCCTTATTTGCATTTCACAAAATCATGAGCAAATAAATATTATAATATTTATTTATCGAATTGTGTACAATATGGCCTGGAGCTGCGATGTGTTTTGGATGCTTTTGGATGGAATTTAATTAATAAACAATAATTGGACTGTTGCCTCCATGTGTGCACCTTTTACCTGGGAGACCATGCGTGATGCCAATTTTAAAGGAAGAGGCATTCAACTTTTACGGACACTCCCCCAGGCGGAATGAAAGGAGAGACATTTTACTTGCCCAACTTAATGAACGGATGAATATCGTTAGATTGCATTCTGTCAGGGGCGTGCTACATTAATTTATGGCCTGCCAGCGAAGGGCAACGAAGGCCATAAATGGTCAATTGTTTGACCTTTTCATAAGCCACACAAAAGCCACACGATTCACAGTGGAATTGTTATTAATTTAATCAGATTTAGCCGATTGTGCGTGGGGCATTGCAATCAGCCAAATGAAATGCCGATGATTACAATAATTGTTTAATTTTGGGAAAATTCCAACGCAAAATTAGTCATTATCTGTTGACGACTGATAATGAAAGTGCATAATGCTCAATTTATTAGACCATAAGGCTAAACAGGGCCCGAGGGGGCAGAGCGGAGCGGAGGGCAGTGCATAAGCTGCCACTGAAAACTATGCTGACATGCCCGTCATGTGCAACATGTCAGCTTAATTATGCGCACTCTTGAGGGCCACTCTTCCACGTGGGGTGGAGCAGGACTCTGGCCGGGTGGCAGGCGGGAGGGAATGCAATTTATCAACAAGTTTGCCGCTTGGGGGTGACCGTTACGAGCTCCATTAGTGGCAGCCACTTAATGTCCACGCCCTGTCCTTGCTGTCCCTTGCAGAGCCATTTGGAGAAGATAATTGAGAAGCCCAATCAGCCGGAGCAGCGCCCCACTCGCGCCATCATGCCCGGCGACAGCTTCGACGAGAAGGTAAGCCCCACTTCTGACTCCTATGGCGGCATCCGATTCTGATTGGAATCTCAATCCCCTCTGCAGCAGAAAATGCGCAACCGCTTCACGGTGCTGTTCGAGCTCGGCGGGGAGTACCAGGCGGCCAGTGTGTCCCGGCCCTCGAAGACCGAGCTGAGCACCTCGACCCTGGCACAGATTGCCCAGTTCGTGGCCACCACCGGGCAGACGGTCAACATATGCGATGTCCACGAGTGGGTGCGGGACCACAACCAGATACGGGCCGAGAGCGAGATCGATAGCACCCAGGCCATACTCTGCATGCCGATTGTGAATGCCCAGAAAATTGTGATTGGTGTGGCCCAGCTGATCAACAAGGTAAGAGATAGGCCTCTGGATTGAAGGAAGCTTGGCTCTTGCAATCTCCTTTCCCCCAGGCCAATGGCGTACCTTTTACCGAATCGGATGCCTCCATTTTCGAGGCCTTCGCCATATTCTGCGGCTTGGGCATCCACAACACCCAGATGTACGAGAACGCCTGCAAGCTGATGGCCAAGCAGAAGGTGGCTCTGGAGTGTTTGAGCTACCATGCCACAGCCAGCCAGGATCAGACCGAGAAGCTCACCCAAGATGCCATTGCCGAGGCAGAGTCCTACAATCTGTACAGTTTCACATTTACGGGTAAGCCGAATCTCTTGGAATCTACACTCTTTCCCAAACGTTCCTAAACCATTTCCATTTAAGACTTTGAACTGGTGGACGATGACACCTGTCGGGCCGTGCTGCGGATGTTTTTGCAGTGCAATCTGGTCTCCCAGTTCCAGATACCCTACGATGTATGTATAGGAAGATACACTATTCTAGCATAAAGAGCTTTAAACTATGGTTCATCGCTTCCTAGGTCCTCTGTCGTTGGGTCCTGAGTGTCCGCAAGAACTATCGTCCTGTAAAGTATCACAACTGGCGGCACGCTCTCAACGTGGCTCAGACCATGTTCGCCATGCTTAAAACTGGCAAAATGGAGCGCTTCATGACGGATCTGGAAATACTGGGCCTGCTGGTGGCCTGCCTGTGCCATGACCTCGACCATCGAGGCACCAATAACGCCTTTCAGACAAAGACCGAGTCCCCGCTGGCCATTCTCTACACGACCAGCACGATGGAGCACCATCACTTCGATCAGTGCGTGATGATCCTCAACTCCGAGGGAAACAACATATTCCAGGTAAGTTTCAAAAGTTTAATGGAGATTTTTGCCCATCATAACCTAGCCACGGACAACGCGGACTTTCTTGCTTTTGGCCCGAAGATTCCTACGGTTCGATCTACTGCCCTTCCGAGCATTCACGCGTGCCTTGCGACCACTCGTGCGGCCACTCCTGGAGCTGGATGTGCTGGAGCTGCCAGATCCGAGTCGTATCTTCCTCTTGACGGTGTACTTGAGATTGGTGACGCGAACAATCTTCTTGCCACCTCCCGAGGATGAGGAGGAGGAGGATGAGGTCGAGGATTCCGTTGTGCTTGTAGTCGCCTCCGTGGTGGTGGTGGTGGCGGTCGCCGCATCCGTTGTGCTTAAGGCAGAGCTCGATGTCGAGGTTGAGCTGTCTGCAGCGTTCACTTGGGACACATAAATCACCAAAGCCAGGCCGAAAAGAGCTAGAGACAACTTCATCTTGGATATTTCAACTGTGAAATGATATACCCTCTGCTCCGACAATGTTCCTTTTATACTGTCCAATTGGGGGAAATGGTTCTATGGAAACTTTGGTTCATTCGAAACCTTCGCATCGACAAACATAGCAGGGAAAAAAACCTTACATATGGACAAAAGAATAATGTTCACCTTGATCCAAATGGTCTGGGCTTTTAGCCCCACACGAGTCTGTACATAATGTCGTCATTGCTCCAAGTGTTTTGCTATCTAATCTAAACATAGAATAGTAGCTATTTCTGAAGCTTACTTTCTTTCACTTACTGTTTCGTAGGCCTTGTCGCCGGAAGACTATCGCTCCGTTATGAAGACTGTGGAGAGCGCCATCCTATCCACCGACCTGGCCATGTACTTCAAGAAGCGCAATGCCTTCCTGGAGCTGGTCGAGAATGGGGAATTTGATTGGCAGGGCGAGGAAAAGAAGGATTGTATGTACCACTTTCGACTGTAGTCATATCCAAATGGATAATGGAATCTATTTTTAGTGCTGTGCGGCATGATGATGACTGCCTGCGATGTCAGTGCCATAGCCAAGCCGTGGGAGGTGCAGCATAAGGTGGCCAAGCTGGTGGCCGATGAGTTCTTCGACCAGGGTGATCTCGAGAAGCTGCAGCTAAACACCCAGCCAGTGGCCATGATGGATAGGTGATTGGGCGTAGCCTGACATCCAAGAGAAACTAGAGCTAATAATGTGATTTCCACAGGGAGCGCAAGGACGAGCTGCCAAAGATGCAGGTGGGCTTCATCGATGTTATCTGCCTGCCACTGTACCGCGTTCTGTGCGACACCTTTCCTTGGATCACGCCGCTGTACGAGGGAACGCTGGAAAACAGACGCAACTGGCAGGATCTGGCCGAGAAGGTGGAGATGGGCCTGACCTGGATCGATCACGATACTATCGACAAGCCCGTGGAGGAGTTTGCCGGCTGTGCCGACGAGGAGATCAAGGACATTGAATTCACGGTGACCACGCTCAACTGCAATCAGCAGGCGCAGCATGGGGCAGGTGCAGGCGGCGATGACAGCCACACGCCGGAGCATCAGCGCAGCGGCTCCCGGCTGAGCATGAAAAAGACCGGCGCCCTGGGCAAGGCCGTCCGCTCGAAGCTCTCGAAGACGTTGTACAACAGCATGGACGGCTCCAAGCCGAAGACCTCGCTGAAGCTGCTCGAGTCGCATGTGAGCGAGGACATGGACGACAAGAGCCCGACGAGTCCTTCACAGCCGCCGCATGCCGGCGGAAGCGTGGGACGCATGTCCGCCTCGTCATCCACCTCGTCCGCCGGCACCGTGGTGGACAAGTCGAAGAAGCGCTCCAAGTTGTGCTCGCTCTTATGACGAAAGCCCTCCAATTAGAATATGGCGACTCCCTCCAGCACCTCTGGCAGTGAGACTGACAAGTGCGGAGGGGGGCTGACCGAGTTCTAATTGGAGCGCATATGATCCCGACAAATGACTATTTTGAGCCATCCTTTGAAGCATGATCTAAGTTCTGAGTGTACTCTAGGGTACTCTACCCTATCCACTCGATCTACCTGTATCTACTACTATTTGTATGTCTTTAAGTGGAGAACTATCCAATCCAATCCACAATATCCCACAAAAATACCACGCGATGAGAAGGTGGACTCGGAGGAGTAGGAAGCAAATGCAGTTGCAATATTAACATAAGTGAATGTCAAAATATGTGATCTATTTAAGGTCCCGAAGGTGCGAAGCCCACGCGTTGAACCTTTTGGTGGTTACACTCTATCTCTATCTATCTATATCTCAAGTTCCGTGTCTCTGTCGCTAACTGACTCTGAACTATAGTTATCCTGTAAGCTCCAGTACTCAAGTAGATGGATCAATTTAAGTATCTGTATGTATGTAGTTCCCCTAACCAAATCGTGCTAGTCAAACGTATGAAATACTATACCTATAACACGCCTAAATATTTAAGTAGAACTCTTTTAGTCTTTAAGCTGCAATTCGTGAGGCTATGCGAGATCAGGCATCGATGTATCCCAATAACTACTAAACTAATATACATATATGTATGTAAATGCACATACTGTATGCGAACTATAGCAATATTATATGATATTTCCCCCCACCCCACCCGAAAGAACACCAAAAAAAACAAAAGAAAAGTAAAATAATGATTCCACACTCTACTAGTGTGAATTGTGAGCACAGCACAAATATTGAGAATATCAATACGAAATTGAAACTTAGACACAAACAAAAGGCGTACGCAAATTGTTCTTAATATTCATCCACAATCCGCAATCCGTTTAATTGTATAAATAGATATACGCGAGCACTCGTACATAAAGATAAACATAAATATTAATATGGACGCCAGTCAATTTTTGAACTCGAAACTCAAATAAAAAACGATACTCTTGTCATATACTCGTTTGTATGTCTGCGCACCGCGCTCGGTAAATATACAATAGATACTCGAATGCTAATGAGTAATACGATCGGTCCTCTTCACACCTCTTCTACTTATTGTAGTTGCTGCTAAGAAGTTTACTTTATCTTCGTGTGTATTGTACAGAGCGAACTACGAGTATATAGAACATAATCGAACTATGTATATGTATATTCGGACATTTATTTGAAATGTTTATACAATATGTAACTATTAAAGTATTGTGTAACTACAACTGAATTGCTTAGCGTTACAGTGTTTAAGAGCCGCCATCTCATTTTCTCATTTTTTTCCCATTTATCCGCGTGTGCTAAGATGGCTTTCTTAAGATCAAACTCGAAATGTTAAATCAATAAACAAACATGTATTTTTCTAGTTAATCTGCCGCTCGCTTGAAAATCAAAATCCAGACAACTTTACGAATAGCTATTTCTTTTGTGACAAATTAATTGTGTATACTTCATAATCATTTCGTTGGTTGTTTCTGTTCCTAAGATTTATTCACCTTTATTTACAATACCTAAATATGTAAGACTTGCAATTGAATCAAAAATAAATCACACAATTGGGAATTACTCTAAAAACAATGTGAACTTATTTGTCCTCTTCATTCCAACAGGAAGCTATTCGAATTTGTTTTACCTTTAGTAGACCTCTTGTACACTCCGCAATGGAAAATATCCCGGGAAATTGATCAAGCAAATATATAAAATATTCAGTTTCGGACAATCATTGATCACAATTTCGCAATCTACTTCAAATTTTTAAAATCTTTAAAATCATGTTCCTTTATGAAATTCGATCCTAATTTCGATCGAAAAAGAAACCGTTCAGACCAGTGCTGCCAGTTTAGCCTATTTCAAGCTAGATCTAGCATTGCTTATAGCATATTTCGAAAGCTTATTAGTATAAGCTTTAAATGTAAATTTAATCTTTTTGAATCTTTGTTGAATACAAAATATCGGAACAGCTTTTTATGCATTTTGTGATGGCAACTTTTTTCAAAAGAGAAAGAATTTGGTTCTGTTAAATTTTAGACTACCCTATAATTTTGAAGTTCTCAAGAAACTCAAAGTGCTTTCCGTAGGCAACTTGCTGCGGCACAAAATACCAACGGTTTTGTGTGTAAAATGTATTTATTCAAATGGGAAAATACCGAAAATATTATTAAGTTTTGGGCAGAGAAGCTGCCCCACAAAGATGCGGGAAGAAACAACCTATTCGAGCCACTTGCTCTTTTTTGCTATTCAATTGCTCTCTCTCCCATGGTGCTGATGTGGCACTATCTTAGTGTTCAGTCAAATAATTTATAAAAATGTACCCAAAACTACGAATCGCCATTAAAATATTTGAATTTAATTTAAAAAAACGACAAATACTACAACAGTCAAGAGGAGGTTGCTGAGGTGGACGACATACTTAAGTTATGGCTGGTATAATGAAATCACTGAAACTTATCTATTTTTGGGGTTTAGTTTTTAGCATACATATATCGGTATATCCTGGCAGCACTGGTTTCGACTGGTATTCATATACATAGTTTGATTGATTGCACTACATTTGGTTTTTATTGCTTTCGAAGATGGATACAAGTATGTGGATATCCTAATAGGATTATCCCTGAGCACGGCGCTGGTTCAAGACCAAAACACGCGCACGGCTACCGTTGCGAGACCTCAAGATCCGCCTGCCCAAAACACTTCTGCTGCGAGTGCTCCTATTAGTGGTGCCCCTGTGAACCTTGATCCTGCGTTTTGACGACCATTTCAGGTTGCTAATACGGATTTTCTTGCGATGTACCGTTCCCGTGGATGCAACGGTTGTCGCCGCCGATGTAGTTGCAGCTGTAGTTGCAGCTGTGGTTGTAGTTGTCGCAGCCGCCGATGTCGTGGTGGTGGCCGCAACAGTGGTACTCGTGCCGGAGCTCGTTGTCGCGGTGGTGCTGGTTGCCGCATTCGTCATCCAAATGCAAAGGCTCACAGCCAGGAGTCTTAGTGCCAAATGTCCCGTCCTCATGGTGGTGTTGCTTCTTGCTGCTCTAATGTCTTGGCCCATGGCCGTGAGCCCTTTTATATACCCCGGAGACAATCGGATTTGCTTGGCAAATATTTGAGCTATATTTTCGCCAATTACGTACTTTACCTATGTACTTTGACTATGTACGGGTATTTCTGCGCGATTATTTTTGCCATATTTGTACTGTCTGTCTGGAAGTTACACAAAAGAATACGGTGGAATTTCTGAACCCTGAAAGTGAATGCTATAAAATTAGATTTGAAATGCTGCGCTGTCTATAAATAAATAGTCGCTGCTCAAGAGTCCCCATCATGTCTGCGAGGAACAGCAACAAAAGGTGGAGATACGCCTGAACACAGACCACGCCACCATCCACAGTAGAAAGCGCTTAGGACACCATAAAGTATGTTAGGCATCATACTTCGATGTAGCCATATCCAAAACCGTGACATCGGCAGAGACCTCTACGTCCCTAACCAAGCCGAGACGCATGCTTCAAAGCTCAGCCACCGAAACGTGCTGGCGAGGCGACTAGCTGGTACCAGACTCCGGCGTAGACTGGCTTCATCCAGCGGTCCTGCCCGACAGGAGTATCTAAGACTAACTTCAACCCCTAAGTGAACCTGACGGAGAATCGCCGGGACTAAGACCCACTTGCTGCTGACCCTGGACCCCTTATAAAAGTAGCTCTTAACAGTTACAGTGTATAATGTGATCGTATAGTTAAAAATACAAACAACAAAATTCTTTCTGACTAGATGACCAGATTTTGTGTATCCTTTGACAAAGATACGAGAAAACCGTATATCGTGTAATTTCAATGATTTTTATTGCTTTGCTTGATATGTGAATGCTAATACCATTACTTATCCCCGATTACGCCGCCTTTTTATGATTCTGGGCATCGACCGTGAACGAATACGATTCTGCACCCTCGCAAGGACCCTTCTTCTGAGCAAACGGCTTCTGTTGATAGTGCTTCTAGCAGTAGTGCGCCTGTAGGCCCGGATCCTCCTGTTTGACGAAAATCTCAGATTGCTTATACGGACTCTTTTGCGGTGAACCGTAGATGCCGTTGTACTTGTTGTCGAGGTCGTAGCCTCGGTTGTAGTTGTCGTAGCCGCCGATGTCGTGGTGGTGGCCGCAACAGTGGTACTCGTGCCGGAGCTTGTTGTCGCGGTGGTGCTGGTTGCCGCATTCGTCAGCCAAATGCACAGACTCCCAGCCAGGAGTCCCACTGCCAGTTGTCCCGTCCTCATGGTGATGCTGCGTGGTGGTGCTTCTTTCTACTCTAATTTTATGTCATCCCCCATGGCCGTGAGCCTTTTTATATCGGAATTCAACGACAATATCGAATGATTTGCTTAGCAAATATTAGAGTTATGTTTTCGCCAATTAAGTGCTTCGACTATGCATGGATGTTTAAACGAATGAACGTGTCTAAGAGAATATTTTGGGCATACATATTTACACAGTCTGGTAGAAAAAGCTGGAATTTCTGAACTTGCTCCAACGAGAGAAAGCTATAAATTAGATATTAAATGATGCGCTTTATTTTTACGACGCCCGGTCTTAAATTAATCAGTCGTCTAACGAGAGTGTCGCCAACAGACGTCATCCCGGCTCCCTGCTCCTCCTGGGCAAACATCCATCCGGGGATCCACCGCAGACCTCGCGCTCTGTTGCACGTTGTCACATAAAACACTGCATAATCAAATATTTGCCCAGGTCTAACTCTCACTCGACTCTGCTGACTCGCTTATTTGCCTGCGCCCGACATATTAGCCATGGGAATGACAGTGATACTCGTACTCCTACTAACGCTGATGCTGACGCCGATACCGACGCTTTTGGGTTGCGTGGTTGTGGTCTCCCGCTGAGGTTTACCTAAGCTGTTGCCCTAGTCCTGGCCTCCCTATATAAGTCGAGGACTTCCTCGCAATTGCTCATTCGAAAGGTGCAGCTCCCCCGTGCGCTTCTTCGATTGTGTTCCGGCTCCTGTTCCTCATTGCCCTGGCAATGGCTCAATACGCTTTGACTCTGGCAATGCTCATCGCGGCCCTTTGCTCCCGCTGCGAGCTATCCCGGACCATGTCCCTGCCGGACGAGGAGCGATACGTGCGCAAGGAGTACAATCGGGATCTCATGGACTGGTTCAACACTGTCGGACAGCTTGCGCCCAACCAGGGGGTTCCTCTCTGCCGATATCCATACATTGCGGACAACTCCCTGTCCATTCCCACCAGGAAGAGAAACTCGGAGATCATAAACTCGCTCCTGAGTCTCCCCAAGAACATGAACGAAGCGGGGTAGTAGTTGTAATATGGGCCTGATCAAATTATTGGATAAACGGATATACGCTTGCACCTACGGACGAACGAATGTGGACAACATACATATGTTAAGCGATCTAGTATGTAAGATGTCTGAGTAGTTTATCTGTCTGTGCTTGTGTTTTAAGGGGCAGCGTTATAAGGATATTTCATACATATTTAAGCGGTGCATCTTCAGAAACTTGTTGCTTGCTATGGTCCATACGGAACTAAGTTATATAAATAATATATGTGTCTACACATATTCTTATATACTAATATACTCGTACTTAAATGTGTAGAAAATATAATATATCAAATATAGCTACTATCTTTAGGTGAGCAAGAATGGACATATCTTTATTATTAACAGATTTTATATCGTGAATTGGATAACTCCCCCAAATAGTGTTGCCTAGATCCTTTATTAAGTTGAAAATACGATTATATTCGCGTTGCTGCGTCTCCTGTGGACAGTTTTAACCTGCTTGTTGTTCACATGCTTTGTGACATGTTTTGTGCGCACAATCGTCGGACTAGCTGTGGTTGTAGTGGTTGTGGTTGTCGTTGTCGTTGTCGTGTCCTGAGCAGAAGAAGACTGAAGCAGGCAGAGAATGGCCAGCAGGAATACTCCCAACAGATAGATAGTCAACTTCATCTTTGCGCCTCGAAACACCAGATGTCTTGAGTATGATCGAGTCTGGCTTTATATACCCGCAGTTACCGTGAACTTGACAATAAAACTGTTGATGATAAGCAAACAAGTACGAAAATGTGCACCAAATTTCGCACAAAAAGTATTTCTTGTGTCAACATATTTGCTAAAAAATTGGCAGATGAAAAAAAAAAAACAAATTATCTTTGTTTAAATGACGGCAATATGTATATATTTCCTTATAAGCTAGACAACTATGTTAATCAATATTGCGGAATTGTATTAAAATAGAACAATTCTTCGCTTGTTGATGGTTAAGTTCATTTGGCGCTGTCTGAAATCGTTTAGTCGTATGATCCTTTTATATAACTATAACTATTTTTGCATGTTCTGCGGCTGTAACGCACTTATTCAACGTTAGGACAAGCGAAGAGTTAGAAGATACTACAGCTATATTTAATTAGAAAACAAACAATCTGTTAGACAATGGTAACATATGCTGCAACTATCCCTTGGGCTCAAAATGCAATTCAGTAGCTTTTCACTTACATGACTAATGCCTGCTAACGCGTAAATACTATCTAACTGGCTGTAACCCTGCCTCGGCTAACCTAACCATTAACTCTTGTTATTTAAGGTATCGTATCGTATGTGGCTGCAGCAGAGACGGGTCCGCGTCCCCAGCATACTCATGACTAAGTCGCATGCCCCAAAGCACGAACTGGCCGCTGCGCTGCCAATCTGCAGGGATAAGATATCGTTGAATGGGGTGGTTCAACTTATTTCAGATAGTACTCACACAAATCTTGATATAATATAAAGCTTTAGCTGATTCCACAGCTTTTGGATATTTGGAAACACACACACACACGTACAATGGCATTGACTTTTTGCTTTCTAATTCTCGAAACGGGTCTTTCTTCTCCTCGTTGATGCGGTTGCTATGGTTGATGTTGGTTGTTCTCACATGAAAAACTCATTGGCTGAATGGGAAAGCGGAAGTCACGTTCGCCCAGGACGATCGAATATTGTAATCTCTATGACGCGAAGACCCCGGAAGGTGGGATCGATAAGCTGCAGTCCCTTTTGATGGTAAATGCGCTCATTCTGGGAAGCCACAAATTTGGATATCTTACGAAGGGTCTATGGGCGATGATTCAGAAATTAGTTTGGGACTGCAAAGGCATATCAACGATTAAAATACCTTCTCGTAGTGCGTTTCGGAGCACATGTAGATCAAGTATGCTGTGATGCAGCCTATACAGCCTTCACAGTAGGTGCCGCAGGAGCCCTCCTCCGCCTCGGCATAAAATTCGTTTAGCCTATTGATAGTAGACTCGAAGACGTGTCGTTCAATCTGCAGATTATACGATCCAATGTATTTCTATACAAAATTTTTAAGTGCAGCTATACGTACAATACCCTCCAGTTCTGTGGGAAGCCTCGTGTGAAATTTGACGGAGGTGCCAACGCTGTAATCGCGCTGAATGAAGACCTTGCTGAAGACCACGCCCCCGCCAGCTGCCTGAAGTGCGGCCGCGTTGCTTCCCGCTGGTGTGCCACCGCCTTGCGACATGGTGCCTCTGAAATTTATAACCACTGCTTGAATTAACTCCTTCTGCAATTCGCGGTACATCTGATTGAACGCAATCATTTTGCCACAGTTTCAGACAACGAAATCCCATCACAATCACAGCTGCCTTGCTTCTCCAGCAAGCAACTCGAACTCGAATCTGTCAAGGACTTGACATTTGGCAAGGCCTGCTTGTGTCTCACCTGAGTATTTTGTGGAAGGTGATCGTTGGGTACTCCTAACAGTTGATTTAGCCGCCGTTTTACAGCTTAAAATTATAAAAACGCTAAATGTTTGCAAATTGCTAATTCTTGCAGTCAGTGTGACCGCCGTTCTATCTATACAGTCTGACCCTCGGAAATATACCAAAATATACCGTCTCATTTTAAAAATATACCGTAAATATACTGACGAATTCAGGTTTTACTTTACATATTCCTCGATTTTGATATTCCGTGGAATATTACAAGCTATATACAAAATTTAGCCATGTCCACATAGTTTTATCTAACTAATGAACATATTTTCCAATTGACTGGCTTATTAAATACTTGACTTTGATTGTTTTTGCCTTAATTTTGGTTCCTCCAGTTAGCCCACTTAGGCCCCCTATGTTTGAATAGTTTAACTCCTTGATGTAAAGGGCGGAAAATATTAACGATTGTAAATTCTTCTTGTAGATCCATGCCATCTTTCCTCTGATCTTCAAAAAACACCACGATATCTTCCAACTAAACTGCGCTAAAATTGGTAAATTTTCATTATTTTCCGTGGAAAATTGAAATACCCCCTTGGCTTATAATAGGTTACTGTTCTCCGTCAAGGGTTGGAAACCGTATTGTTTAATTTTGATGTTCCGTCGAATTTTATTAGCTAGCTATAACATTAAGCCATGCCCACATAGTTTTATCCAATTAATGAACCTATTTTCTAATTGACTGGCCTATTCTGAATTCCGTTCAAATTCGCAGAAACGCAAAAAAACGGGGAATACTACTTTTGGAATACTAAAAGCATACGTATTATTTATATAATTTCATTATTTAAATCTATTTTTTAACTGCTGGGTGAAAGTACCGCGATTATATAAAAATACCTAAAATATGCTATGCGTTAAATGGGCGTTAAAAAATGAAATTAAATTCTGAATTTAAATTAAAACATTAAAACATTTTGTATTCAGTAATTTTTAAAGCGAAAAGAAGAATCAAATGCTGTTTTTTTGGAAAATACTTCTTCTTACATATACATACATACTGATTGCTGAGGCCGAAGAGTAGAGATTTCAAAACAATTCACCAACGCATTCGCGCTGGAAATATTTGCACAGCTTGATCGTTTGTTTCATTTGACTGTGAATGCTTCTTTGTAAATTCTATTTATCAATAAAAACTGTTCCTCTATTTTAAAAAATGCTGACGGCCATAAATTAGTATCTCTTCAACGATCAACCATGAAGGCTGCTTGCACGGGGAACCACCGAACGTACCTTCTGCTTTTTAGTATCGTTATCAATGCGCTTTCGCTCGGACTGAAGTCATGCCACGCTGTGCCCATTGTCGGTGGAAGGATTGTGTCAACCGTGGGCAGTACCTGGAAGTTGAATGTGCTTGGAAGACTAACTGATCCTCTCTCGAATTCCATTTAAAGGCAGCACCAGCAAATATCCGTTTATGGTCTCCTTGCAAGATGTGATAGTGGGGAATGAAACTGAGAGAACTACTTATCGACACTTTTGTGGTGGCAGCCTCATAAGTGACCAATGGATCCTGTCGGCCGCACACTGTGTATGGAGAAAGTAAGTGAGGGAATATCTATTATTATGCTTTTAAATTCAGTTTTTTCCGGTTTTAGGAACATAAATACCATTTTTGCGTTTATCGGCAACGAGAACATTGAAAATGTTGATCTGCTGGAACCATATGGTCTGGAAAGTGCCGAGTATATCTACTTTCAGCCGTGAGTATTTAGTTGAGTCAAGTTTAACACCCTCTCTATTTAGAGAGAGTGTAAGCAAATACCAGCCCAATGTCACGCCATCAATTGAAAGAATCTGTCCCGTCTAGATCCAACTTCAGGAATGATATTGCTCTGCTCTATATGAGACGTCGTTATAGAAGTGCTTTAGGCAAGGAACTGCAATTTGCCCAGCTTCCACCTCAGGGAATGAAACCAGATAGGAATGGTGGATATAACTATTTTATCCCGATTCTGGATTAGTTATTGTAATTGTATCTTTTAGAATCATGTCGAATTATTGGTTATGGCGCCACACAGCATGCAGGCCCATGCCAGAAGGAACTCTCTGAAGCCGAGGTTCGGGTGATAGGAAATAAGGAATGTCGCGATATCATAGGACACATCTGGGCTCCACAAAATGGGGCAAACACTGTGTGTGCAATGGGCACTGGGCATCAGGACTCTTGCCAGGGCGACTCTGGGTAAGTGACATAAGCCTCTCCTTCATTCGTTAACGTATTCGTGTTTTGAATGTTAGGGGTCCTCTAATCTGTCCGTACGGCGGCAGAGACTACATCTACGGACTCGTTTCACATGGTCTCACCTGCGGCATCAAGGGAATGCCCAGCATCTATACGGTGACCCGACCCTACCACGACTGGGTGCAGCTACTGCTACATCAGTCGTAGATCTCTGGATGTGACTTGTATATAAGTGGTTTATTATACGATATCAAACAGAAAACAATTTACGAATATATACTAAAAGAATGCAAAGATTAACAGCGAACTTAGAGGCTAGAGTACTGCAGTTGACGATACTTCTATACACTAAACGATACGTAGGACTAACTAACCTAAAGGCACCGATCGCCTCGCTCACTGCTTCTCTGGCTTCTCCAGCTGTGCCACAGGAGCTTGAGCATCGGCGGCAGCAACACCATCGATCTTGTCCGAGAGCTTGCCCGTGCCCGTTTCGGGCAGAGTGAGGGTCAGCAGGCCAGCTACTAGAACGCAGCAGCCGCAGATAGTCGTTGGAATGTACCAGCCGAGGGCTCCCAGCACATCGACCACATAGGGGGCGGAAATGGATCCCACATGGGCAAACGTCGAGCAGGTGCCCAGGGCAGAGTTACGGATCTGGGTGGGATACAGTTCCGCCGTGTAGAGCGTGACCACGGAGTAGGTGGCACTGATTCCGAAGCGACCCAGCATGGCGAAGGCCACGATCCAGGTAGTGCTGCCCGCAGGCACGGAGAGGACCAGCAGCAGCGAGACGCCCGTCCACATGAACAGGAACATGGTTGTGTTGCGTCGGCCAGTGAATCGCAGCATGATCACCGGCACCAAATACGAAGGGATATCCACCAGGCCAGTGGCCACGATGTACAGGTACCGACTCACCGAAAGGTTGGCCGCATTCAGAGCTGTAGGCAAGGGAACTCTTTTAGAATCGAAAACCAATAAATCTTTAAAGAAACACCTCACCCGTCACATAGTAACTCAGCGATGTCACGCAGAACATAAAGTATGAGGTGAAGATCAGCTTGCGCACATTGGGATTGGCAAATAGCTCGATGATGGACTTGAGTGGGCCATTCTTGAGTTTTTCCAGCAGCGAGGAGGAGCCGCTTTCTGGTTCCAGCTGCAACGACAGAAGATGATGATGTTGCTTAGCAACCGGACTGCAGGTACATGAATATTGATATGTTCTCGGAACTTTGCACTCACCGACTTCTTATCGGTGACGAGGTCCGAGGGGGCGGCCAGCGCTGGCTGAATATCGTAGTGGCTGGGCTGCTTGAAGAGGATCTTGTAGACGCGATCGTAGCGCTGGTTCGTTATGAGCCAGCGGGGTGATTCATTCATCAAGCTAAGGGGGGGGAAAGTAAACTATTAGGTGATCATTTAGAAGGTAATCCAATGTAACTCACTAGCAGTTTAGGACGAGGAGGAGCGAGGGTATGGTCAGAGCCAGCTGCAAGTGTCGCCAGGGCTGGATGAGGTAACCGATAATGGCCAAGATGATCATGCCAATGGGATAGGAGGCCGAGAAGGCAATGGACATCCAAGAGCGATGCTTCAGGCAAACGTTTTCCACAACTAAAACAAAGAAAATACAGAAATGAGGCAATCAACTCTAAGATTACAGCGCCAGAACTTACTCATTGTAAAGGCCGGGTAGAAGAGTCCCGAGGAAGCGGCTCCCAAGGCGAAGCGACCCGCCAGGAAGAGACTGTACCAGGGGGAGAAGGTGCAGAAGAAGCTTCCCACAACGAAGAAGACGGCACCCAAGGTAAAGGAAGTCTTGCGACCGAATCTGCAAGGATACCATTGATCAGCAAACATCAGCAGAATGGGAAGAAGGGAATTCCCTTTCACCAACTCACTTATCTGCCAGGATGCCAAAGGAGAAGGACCCACAGAACTTTCCCAACGATATTGAGACCTGTGCTGAGGTGCGCTGAATACTCCTCTCGCAGGTCAGATCCCAGTCGGAGACAAAGGTGCTCTCCGGATCCGCGTACTCGTAGCTGCCCTTCACCTTGCAGGACACCTCCGCGGGCCTATTGATTTCCGACATGTGGCTTGTGTAGTTGAGGGCCGCCTCGTAGGACATTTGGCCGAGGTGCTTGTAGTTCCAGTCCCACACCGTGCACCCGCCGGAATTTAGACCGCCTTCGGCTATGTGTCGCCTCTGGGCCAGCGTCCAGTTGGTGGCATCCAGATCAGGGAGGCCACACCACTGATCCTCGGGCAGGTGCCCCAGCAGGGTGTAGGAGGACACATGGAATCCGTTCAGTATGTTGGGGGTGACGCATAGGAAGAAAATGGCCCTAAAAGTGTAAGTGGAAGAGGAAGGGAAATGATTATAGCTTCACCTGCTGCTAATTGGTGATTTTGTTTTCGCCGATCGGGGAGATTGTTTACAGCACGCAACTTCAATCTTTCGCACATTGACACCACACACACACACACACACAGTCGTCTAACACTTGATTGGAATGCAAATAGTGCCCGTAATACCCTATCCAAAACATTAACTTAAACAGTTAATGCCGAAAACAAAAGCCGTGAAGGTTAGTTTCAGCACATGACAGATTCGGACGAATTTCAGTATGCGGCTCACATAATGACAGATGCGGGGATTCGCGCCGAAAACATACAATATTTTGAAAACGGCAGCGTCATTAATCATTACCCAACTCGGGCAACCGGAACGCGGTGCGCAATATTTACATATCCGATCTGGACTCACGTGCCTCTCACTCTCCTCCACACCCACATCACACCCATGAGTTCCGGGAACGGGAAGATCATCCAATACTCGAAGGTGATTTCGTGGACTTTTAGGTTGAGTTGGTTGAATGACTTTCAGTCCCAGTGCAGTTGTCCTCCAGTGCTCTCCAGGGGCTCTTATCACAGCTGGCTTTTTCCTAGGATCACAATTACATGGCCCGATCTCGATCTACATGGTGAATGGAACCGGTACTCGCACTATAGCTATACGAGCTATAGATTAAACCCACGATCCGTCGACGCCAGATCTCGGATTTCGAATAATGAGTGGCTTATCAATTTCGATTGAGCTTCATGCGAATATAATACGAATAATCGTATGCATATACACGCTGATATACTCTCGGAATGGATTCTATATTTAAATTCTTAACACTGTTCTGAGCGATCACATGACCAATGCCCTCTGATTGAGCTCCACCCCACCCCCTACTCCCTCCTACTGTGAGTGAGTGATTTCTGACCCAAGTCCAGGAAGCGGCAGGGCAGACAAGTTTACAAAATCCGTCTACCTTCTCGTCCCATTAGATTACAAAATCGAATCTTCCCATCCGAAACGTGCTTCATAACGTTACAGAATCAGAATGCTAATTGTTTCTTGGGGTTTCATGGTAATGAGTGGTTCGTGATTTGGTTAGGGTTTTTGCGAGAGTATTTGCTGACCAGTCAAGCGAGATGATCGTATAATTGAAAGTGTTTCATCTGAATCACAGTGTAGACAAGTGCACCACCCTGACTAATGTCAACGTTTTTCTAGAAACTCAACCTTTAAAAGCCATCACAGTGCATTCATTAGGAAGTGGGTCAAGTGGAACGTGATTGGGGCACGAGTCGGACCGGACTGCAGCTTAATCTGGCTGCTTCCTAGAGTGCTCTCAAATGTGAGTGAAATGTGAGGATTCCTTACCAGACGAATGCCCCGCCACTGCCCACGATTTCCAGCTGCTTGGTGAGCAGATCCTTCATGCTCTCCTCGCTGATGTGCTCGCGTGTCCTCTCCGGATTGTCATCCTTTGATTTGGTCATGGTTCGAAAATATCACAGTTGGGATTGAAGGGGACCGTGGGTAGATTCCTTTACTTCTTTGCAGTCCGTTCTTGTGCTTGAGCTTGAACTTCTACACTCGATCGTTCAGTTTAAGCGGGAATAACAACCGACTGGATGGATGTGCTCTGCGAGTGCGTTCACTTTGAGCCTTTGACACCGAGTGCGCAGATAAGGAACCAGCAGGCGAACCTTCGCTTCGTCCGAAGAACCGAAGATCCGACGATCGATCCGATCGATATTCACTTTCACTAAACGCTGCCTCGCTGTAATGCCTCGATGGTCCCGATTCTGGTTGTTTTTCAGTGCTATTTATCTATGTCTCACGGGCTGTGTTTGTTCTATTTTCCCATTTGTCTTTATGATCGCTGTTTATGCTGCAGCGCACATGGGAATGAAAATGAATGCCACTTATGACATACCAGAATGCGACACGTTCTGGGTTCTCTGTTTCAGTGAAATACAATTTACAATGAAATACTTTCGGGTTTCTTATTTGTTCAGGTCTTTCTTTTTTTTGTCCGTTTCTTGGTTTGCTGGGCTGTGCAACGTTTTCTAATTTTGAATGGATCCCCGAACGCGTGCATTCGCCTTTCTCCTGTCGATGTCCGCCGGTGTCGCTATCAACTACTTGTCGCTTCGAAAGCGTCTCACAAACTAAGCCCACGGGAGGTCGATCGCAGTGTTTTTGTACGCCCGTTGCCGCTGCCACTGCCGCCCCACAGTCCAACCAGAGGAGAGAGATGGGGCCCAGGCAGAGGTACTCGTACTAACACTCGCAATCGGGCCATTGCGTCTTCCCCGGCGCACCCGCCCGCAGTGCCGCGCCTACGGGACCGTTCGGCTCTCTTCCCGATCCATATACGATCTATATACATAGTATTATATGTTCGCTTTCTTTGGATTTCATTGCAAGCATTAAAAACAAGAAGGAAGCCGAGCTGCGGCCATGCCGAAGTGTTCGATACCCTCGAATGTAAGATGATATGTGGTTTTGATAATGGGAAAAACCTGTTAGGATAGTACAGGGACATAGTAAACGATTGTTTATTACGTTTGAATTGATTTATCATATACATTTTCTTGATTATCTTGATCCAAAAAAGGTAGTGGATTCAGTCATCTTATCCTGACCGTTTCGACTGCTTTCCGCAAAGAGAAAGTTGAGTTTCATCACTGCATCATAATGTAAGTAGTACTGATTAAAAAATAAACTCTTTCTTTTGATTTTTCAATTTAAGTTTTAGGCTTAAAGTGGAGTAAAAACTAGACAGAAATAATATATATTAAGACATATGTAGCTCCAATAGAAACTTCTGGCAATAATACTCGTACTCTTCGACTCTTCAAAATTATAATACCCTTATATAAAGGGTAAACAAAATTAAATACAATTATTGAGCTTTTAAAAAAAGCGATTCTGTTTACCGAATGTCAAAATGCGCACTCAAAAATAAACAAATTTATTTCTGAATGCTACCTATATGATTAAGTTGAATATATTTATGTGATTTATAGATCAACCACCGAGTTGAGTCATTTGAAGTTGAATCAATTACTAGATTACTATATGTCGAGCAATCATTTCATTCATTTTTTAATGGCGATCCCAAAGATAATAAGAGAGGAATTCCTACATATTTCGATGTTTTCGATGTACTCTACCCTCGCACTCCCACACTCTATTCTTCCGTTGCTCTTTGCTCAGGATTCTCATTACGAATGCGACAAACAAAACATTAGAGATTACGCTCCCCAGCGAACACTTGAGAGCCATATGTTCTGTTCGTCTCCTTCCATTCCTCCATTCCATTACATTCTCTCTGTTCTGCTGGCTCTGCTGGTTCCGCTGTTCTGTTCGAGAAGGGCCACCCGAAGCCGATGTAATTTACATGAACAGCCAGACCGTTTAATTCGTTTCTCTCTGCATATCATTACGGTGTTTCCCGTTTGCTTTCGTATTGTTTACATTCTTTTAGGTTTTATTTTCCAAATTCCGAATTTAAAGTCGAAGAGCGGGCCACAATATATTGTATGACGTATAGAAAGAGTACCGAAAGAGTGAATGAACATGAATGTGCACTCTCTGCAATTCTGAATGAAATTTTTGTATACAATGTGGAAAGATTTGAATCTCATATTTATAATCTGAGAGAGTATTACCTACCCTGTAAGCCGAATCGTTCCGTAACTGGAACCAGATTTCTACGCAGTGACCTTATCGAGTGATTCGATTTGGTTTAACCTCCATTATCATCGGAGTGGAGCCTCAAGAGTCCTCAACTCTGGTCTCTGGTCTCAATTGATCTCAATGAATCAATCGAGCGGCCGTGTATGGCATGCACGTCAATCACATCAATCCCCGATATCGTAACCAATGACACTGCTGGAGAAAGATAGAGATTGGCATTGGACGGGGCCAGTCCAGATAGCTACTCCTACTATATTCTAATTATGGTTCTCTTTGTTATGATACACTAATTGTTGTTCATTTGTTCAGTTCTCAGGCATGCAATCATCCTGTCCGTCCGCAAGTATTCTATTCATCTGTGAAATTCGCACTGCCTCCAACGAATACAAATAGGAATACGAATACATTCAAGAGGTTCTACTACCACTAACGGTTGAAACTGTTGCAGCGGTTGAGTGGCCGTAATTAGAGCTTTTTATGTTGATAGCCCGTTCGCATGTGGGATCGGATGCACATGGGCGTGCCACCATTCGATTGTCTGGCTGGGGCTGGAGCTGCTGATTACCTTGATTTTGATTTGGATTTTGGAATGCATTGTTGTGGGGATACACGTGCAGCTTTTCAGCCAATATTCATCGACTAGTATCCATTGGATCAGTCGAAACTATACGTATACCCAGCCATGCTTTCACTCTCAAAACCCCAACAGGCCGTAAAATAATCACCCAAACGAGTGCTAATCTAATAAAACCCATCACATTTACATAAATCTCAAGAATTTATGATGATCTATGGGTTGTAGGGGCAAGAAAATCTATGACTTCGCTTCAGCATTATACCTAATTTACCTTTACAATAATAGAAAGATACATTGCTGAATTACTTAAGTGTGCTTAATGGAGTCCGATGGTAGATAATTTGCTTTAAGAATGCATTACCTCCGCTCCTCCCACGGAGGGACTATAATTCATATTTATATTGTAATAAAGAGAGCGTTGGCGAAGCTTAAGTGAAAGATTGCCCAAGAAACGAAAGCGAGCTGGATCGAGGGGAATTGTGCAAATCCAACCGCTGCTAAACGACTAAATTCAATGAGCACATTGAGGAGGCTGGGCTGCCGAAGAGGGGCAGGGCTCAGACTTTAAGCCTCTTGGGGACACAGTCTAGGCACACACACGCACATTCACAGGCCATGTAGATACTTTAATTTCCCATCTAGGAGGAGAGGTTGGAGTGACAGTAGCCTATTTTTAGCAGCCAGATGAGGCCCAGAAAAAAAAAGCTGTAAAAGGTGACATTATAGAGGTTGAGACGGCTGAGCAGGCCGCTCAAGCGGCTGGGGGGGCTGCCCCTTTCGTAGGGGTTCGTTTCCCGCACTTCGAGCAGATCCTTCCAGCTAACGACCTGCGGCCGCACCACATACAGGGCATTGACAGCAGCCCGAACACCACTCTGGACGGCACCACCCATGAGGTTGCGATAGTTGGTGCCCACCGTCGAAGAGCTGGACCAAATGACCCGATGCCAGGGCGTCACCAGGGGCTTGTGCCGTACCATGCTCAATTCGGCGGTGCTCTGCTGGTACTGCAGTGGCTGCCGCATCCCATCGCCGAACTGGGAGGAGAGAAGATCCAGGACAGTCTGCTGCACACTGCCCTCCTCCTCCGGAGAGTGCACCATGTAGCCGCAGTACGTCGCCTGGTGGCATTCGTGGCCACACACCAGAGGCTTCGAGCTGAGAAAGTTCCCCGAGAAGCCCGCCTCCGCCCAGTGGCATTTTTTGTAGCTCAATGAGAACTGGGTGATCAGGCGACTGGAATTGAGTTTCCCTTTAGGCGGTGGACAGAAATCCTTTGGTATCGGTGGCTCGAACTCCAGCTGCTGCACTTTGTTCCATGGAATGGCCAGGATGACGGCCTGGGCGGTGTACTTCTCCCCCTCGGCGTCTGTCAACTCCACATAGTCCTTGAAGTGCTGCACTTTGACGACCTGAACATTCTGGCTGATCGTTATGTACTCGATCTTATCCAGAATGCTCCCAATAAGCTGCTGGGTGGAGAGCTCCAAGAAGGTGTTCGGAAAGTTAAAGTAGCTATAAAAGGGAGTAGAGGGTGTTAGTTCTGGAGTGGATCAGTTTGGGTTCCGTTTCCCGCTCACAAGTCCATAAGTACGACCAGACCACCGCAAGAGCTGCACACAGACATGAAGACATCGTAGTCCACTTCTCTGGCATGGACGCCGCAGATCAGCTCCACCAAATTCCTCATGAAGTTGCGCGACTTACTGAAGAACAAGTTTTGAGTAATATGACGCTCCATACTGGGCATACGCCTCCGCAGTCTAAAAGGAACAAGGGCGTAAGTGCGAGATCAATATTAAGGCCCTAACACCCACTTGAACCGCTTTGCGCGGAACCTGCCCATCCGCAGGTCCAGCATTTGGATGTATCGGCACAGCTCGAACTTCGCTAGCTGTGCTGTTGGACCCCGATCCAGATCCCAGCAGCGTCGCAGTTGCGAATTTTCATTGTGTCTGTGTTGGAGGCTCAACTGCATGTCGTGCATAAAGTTCAGCATATCGTGTTGCTCCTCATCGACAAAGCGGATACCATTTTGCGCCAGCTGCCCGCCGGGTCTGCTGTTCTCGTCGAGGATCCGGATGTGGAGTGTGGTCTCCTTGGCCAGTAACTTCACGGCCGATGTCAGGGCCGACAGTCCCGACCCGACAATGACTACATCTAGTTCTGGCTGTTCGGTACCGAACGGTAGATGTTGATCCATAGCTCAACCCCCCTCGTTCCTAGACCCTACAGCAGACAGAAGGCATGTTTTTTGTCATTTTTTTGTTTGATAAGTGAAAACTTTGTCGGAGAGCACTTAATTCTGTTTCCATTTAACACAAAATAGTGAAATCTATTTTTTTTCTTTGGTGGCAAGCAGCTATCCATCGTGATTAAATTCCACAGAGGATATGATATGTGACATCATCGTCGTCCATAGGCCCTTAATGTGTGAGAAGCACCAAGACGCCTGTAAAGAGAGAGCATTACCTCATCGTCTCTCAAGCACTCACGCACTCACACTCGCACAATCAGCAGCTGGTTGCTCTGGGAAGGACGAGACCTTCCACAACTACAACCTTCCATCCACCATCCTCTTCGATTCTCGTAATCTACTCCGATGATGCAGCAGGACAGTGCACTTTAAAGCCCTTTAATCTCTTGCCCAAATATTCTCTCCGTTTCGGTTTCTGTTCCTTCCTCCTGCCTCATATCACCTCCTTACTCCTAACTCCTCTATTACTCTGCCCCTTAAATAATTGAAATAATTGCAGTGAATACAATTTTCTTCTACTTCATTTTATTGCTTACAGTTTTACAAGAACTGGGCAGTTCAAAAGAAAAAACGTGTTGCCTACTTTTTGGGCTCTTTTTTTAAATCGATCAAAACTGTAAGAAAATGGTTTTTACAGACCATGTTAATATCTTTGTGCTAGATATCCTATCCTATCCTCCTGTTACTATCCATCCTCCTGAGCTGTGGCTTGTGTCTTTTGATTTAATATTTGGTTCGTTTTCAGAGTGGGCCGCAATTTCAAAAGATGGGTTCCTACTCCAATTTAGTAACATCTCCAACGAGCTATCATTTAATTTTATAGAGATGCAGCTGGAAAAAATACATTTTTGCAATGAAAAGCATCGCTGGAACCCTGAAATTGATGTTTTGTTGATAATAAGGAAATCATTTCAAGTATGTACTTTTATCAGAAACACAAACTGACCCCATTCATCGTGCACTGCATGTCATAATCTCCCTTTATCACGGCTCGAATGCAAATTCCAAGTCACACAATAAAGTAGTAGAGTAATGACGTTTTCTGGGAAAGGAATGCCGATGCAGTAGTTGGTTCAAGTTCGTTGAACTTTCAAACACTTGGACAAACAATAGATGTGCAAGTCATTTGATATAATACTATTATTCTGGAAGAACTGAATGGATTCTACGCACCTGACACTGTCAGAACCTGTTGCTATAGGCCTTTCCGACTTTTGCTTATCAATGATACATTTGATAGTAATACGTTTTATCTACGCGAGTGATATAGGAATGAAATATTATTAGAAATAATAATGTACGGGAGAATGAGATTTGCTCCCATATTCTAAATGCACTCGATGCGATTGCCTGTTATCAGGGGACGGCGACGACCGTTTAGACATATTTTCATGTACGTGTACTTATCGCCGGCCCGGCCCGAGAAGTGATTCTTCAATAAACAAAGTTCGCCATAAAGTTCGTTGATTCGAGCGAACCTTCAGCGCGAGTCGCAGTTACTGTTGCCAGAACCAGAACAGAACCCAGAGAACTCGTAGAGAATAAACGTTGCACCTACATTGTACATTGTTGTAAGTATAATTTAATCTGCTTGTAAAACGAAACAAAAGTCGTGCAAGTGAAATGTGATGTGTCGCATGAGTTATTGCATGAATTTGAAAATACTTTTCTATGGAATGGACAAAGCGAAGAATGCATAAATTCGTTGAAACTTCCAGATGCGAGAATCAATTAGGGCCGACGCTGGATGCCTGATTGGACTGTGTCAAGTGGTATCCCCTTCCGATGCACCTCCTCCACTTAGCTTTGATTGAGCATCCCCTTCAGCTCTTGGTTGGAGCCCGCTTCTGCACTGATCGCCGGCTCCTGCTTCTTGCCAAAGTTCTCGCCATCTTCGATGGTCTCCGGCATGGGTTTGTTGAGCGTCTCGGGCAGCAGCAGCGAAAGTAGTCCAGCTGTCAGAGAGAGTGCCCCACAGATGATCAACGGTAGGGGCTGCCAGATCTCGCCAAGGAGCTTTAGATACGGCGCCAGTATGCCGCCCACACGGGCCACCATGGAGGAGGCGCCAAGACCCACATTCCGCACCACTGTGGGGAACTGCTCCGCCGAAAATATGTAGATGGTGCCGTAAGAGGCAGTGATGGCTAGCTTCCCGATCATCGCACAGGCAACGATCATCCAGGTGTTGCCGCTGGGCACGGCGATGGTCAGAAGAAGGCTTACTCCAGCGATCAGCATGGTGCCGCACAAGATGGATCGCCTGCCCCAGCGGTTGAGCGTGAAGAGGAGCAGGACATAGGCTGGAATCTCGACGGCGCCAGAGATCATGAAATTGAGCAGCTGGTTGCCCCCCAGGTTGTTGGTGTTCCACGATAGCCCATAGTAGACGCCGCTGTTGACGAACCAATCGAAGAAGATGAGCAGCGTCTTGCGACGCAGATTCGGATGCCGCAAAAGGTCGAAGACTGTGGCCGCCGGCTGGGAGGCCGTCAGCTCGTCCTGTTTCTTCTTTTCGGCCACCTCCTCCACCAGCTGCTCGTAGATCTCGCTGGGAATCTCCACCCTGTTCTCCTTGGCAGCCTTCTCAATGATCACGAAGGCCTCTTCCTTGCGCCCCTTGAGCAGCAGCCAGCGGGCGGACTCCGGTATGATCCAGTAGTAGCAGACGAAGAGGAGTCCTGGGAGCGTGAGGGCAATCTGCAGCCAGCGCCAGTCGTGGATGAAGTAGGCAAAGGCCGCCGTCAGCATGAAGCCCACGGAGAAGAACATCTGCATGGCGACGCCGGCAAAGAGGCGGTACGAGGATCCAACCATCTCCAGGGCGATCACGTATGCCACCAGGAAGACGCCCGACGTGGTGGCGCCCACAATCATGCGGGAGATCGTATAGCTGAAATACTCAGGCGCCACGGCTGCTAGCACACCGAAGATCAGCTGGAGGATCAGCGAGGCGAAGAAGGTGGGCTTGCGTCCCAGCTTGTCCGACATCTGGCCAAAAATGAAGCTGCCCAGGAGGACGCCCAGCATGAAGAGCGAATCGCTGGTGGCGCTCAAGAGGCTCCTGTTGCACACCATGTCCCATTCGGTGACGGCGCTGTTGAGGTACTTGCTCTGGTCGTAGAGGAATCCCGCAGAGCAGGCCACGGTTCCGTTCTGTGTGAAGGGTTCGCTGCCATTGAGGTAGTCCGCGCTGTAGGTCACATCGTAGTACTCGCACGTCGAGGCCTTGCCGGTCACCCTGTCGGGGGGATAGGCCAGCGACCATTTTTCGAGCGGCAGCGTCGAGAACTGCGCTGTGGCCGCATCCTCGTGTGGCAGCTGGCAGCGGAAGTCGGGTTTGGCCAAGAGGAAGACCCCTGCGAGCTTGTGGAAGGCACAGACGATGGCCGGCAGACAGAGCAGATAGTAAATCCGTTTCTGGTAGCGACCGAATTCGCCCAGGTGCGTAATGACGTCGTCGTACCCCATGCTGATTGTCTTTGGGCCACGTTAGTGGCTATGAAGTGCTTGAGTGTCGTACGATTGGCGTGGTGCGGAATGGCGCGGTTCAATGGTCGCGCCATCCAATGTGACGCCGTGACGTATGCGCAACTTTTTCTAGCTTTGCGTTGCGTATACGGCGACTGCACCCGCTTGAACCCGTTTTGATTGTGCAACAAAACAGCCTAGTTGAACACTTGACACACAAATGAAACTAAGATCTGGCTGCAGTTTATAGGCCCAGCCTCTGAAACACACTCTTAAAACGAATCGAGATGGCGGTGCCGATGTGGGATGCGGAATGCGCTCGATCAACCGCTCGCCAGCTGCTTCAGTCAGAGACTAAAAGCAAAGAGCTGCTAAAGGTTCTGAAGCACCCAAAATCGGCTCTACGACTATCAGTGCGGGTCTGCGAGCGCAGCGACTCTCGCGCTCGGCGAGCAGTCACCAACCCTGTGGGAAATTCGATTGATCAATGATCCGTCAAAGAAATTGAAAATTCAACTGAGATATCAGCAGAGGGATGCCACACAGGGGTGGTAGGGAGAGAGAGGGAAAGGCAGCTGCATTCCAGTAAGATGTTTGTTGGTCCCAAAAAGAGAGGCCACCAAATGTGGCCTGATTCAGAATTCCAAACATTCTGCAGGCAAACAAAATAGTTTATCCAATATTCTCCTCCTGCTCTCCATTCACGTATCTTATATAGTATTTATATGTTTGCTTATACATATCTATAGCAATAAATGCTCTTCCTATGATATGTTCGTAGTTCTCTTAGGTTCACTCTTTCGATTAGCTGCTCTTAGATTTCCGTTTGACCGTTTGACTATCAACTACCGAAACAGCCATAAATAGACGACACACATACCCCTATAGAGCAGCATCTTGTAATTAGATCAAGTGCAAAGCACTTGGAGAGATGGGTGTAGGTAGATCTACAAATGTAGTTTCTATTGAGTAAGGCGCAAACTTGTGGCGTGGCCAGAGCAGTACGATTTCTCCCAGTGTAGTCTAGCACCTAGCACTCTCGTGATTAAAAATTCTATTCGGGTCTTTTCTTTAAATATCAGTCTCGTGTTTTGGCGACTGATAACAAACTTGTTTCTAAAATAAACACAGCGGAAACACGTGTCATACCATAATTTGAGTATTCCGGTCAGGTCCGTCCGGGTTTATGGGGGTCAAAAATGTTGAAGAAATACGATTTCATATTTGGTATTGCTATAGGAAAAGTACAACAGCTTTATTTCAAAATCGATTTCACGGAGTACATGGAAATGTAGGTATACTTATATTAGGCATAAATTACACAGCGGCATATGAAGAGGCGAGTTCCCTGCTGAACCACCCTTAACCCATGGAATCAACCCCCCTAGACCGCTGCTCCCTGGCTAAATGCTATCATAGAAAATTATCTATTTGGTCCTATACTTTCGTTCGTATTTTTTTGTGTTTTCTGTTTTGGTTTGCGTGTGAGATTTCTGAAATGATATAATACTTGCTCTATTCGTCTTCTGCTATCGAAAAATGACCATATGTCAAAGTACTCCTAGACCTTGTGGCCATTCTCCAGCGATCCATTGAGGGGCTGCGTCTCCAGCGTCTCTCGCAGCTCGCGGCCCGCCTCCAAGTAGACGTCTCCCTTGGTCTTCTTGCCGAAACGCTCTCCGTCGGCAATCGTCTCCAGCATCGGCTTGTTGTGGGTCTCGGGCAGCAGCAGAGAGAGCAGGCCGGCTGCCAGAGAGAGCACGCCACAGATGAGCAGCGGCAGGGGTCGCCAGACGCTGGCCAGGAAGGTGAGGTAGGGGGCCAACATTCCGCCCATCCGGGCCACCATCGAGGCGGCGCCCAAGGCCACATTTCGCACCACCGTGGGGAACTGCTCCGCAGAGAAGATGTACACAGTGCCGTAGGATGCGGTGATGGCCAGCTTGCCCATCATTGCGCATGTGACAATGAGGCCATTCCGCTCCTGGGGAATGACGACGGTGAGCAACAGGCTGAGTCCCGCCACCACCAGGCAGCCGCAGAGGATGGAGCGCCGGCCCCACCTGTTGAGCGTGAGCAGCAGAAAAATGTAGGCTGGAATCTCGACGGCGCCAGAGATGACAAAGTTGAGTAGCACATTCCCGCCAAGGTTGTTCGTGTTCCACGAGAGACCGTAGTAGACGCCGCTGGTCACCAGCCAGTCGAGGAAGATAAGCAGCGTCTTGCGGCGCAGGTTCGGGTAGCAGAACAGATCCCACACGGACGGCAGCGGCTCCTTCTCCTTCACCTGATCCAGCTCCTTCTGCTTGTCCGCCGAACCCTCCCCCTCGTCCAGGAGCGCACTCAAAGCCTCGTTCGTGATGTCCACACGATTGAATCGCGCCGCCTTCTGCATATTGGCGATGGCGCACTCCTTGCGGCCCTTCGAAAGCAGCCAGCGGGCGGACTCCGGAATGATCCAATAGTAGCACATGAATATTAGTCCTGGCAGCGTGAGGGCAATCTGCAGCCAGCGCCAGTCGTGGATGAAGTAGGCAAAGGCCGCCGTCAGCATGAAGCCCACGGAGAAGAACATCATCACAAAGATTCCTGCGTAGAGCCGCTTGGCAGGACCCACCATCTCCATGGCAATCACATAGGCCACAAGGAACACGCCCGATGTGGTGGCACCCACAATCACCCGAGCCATGGTGTAGGTAAAGTATTCCGGAGCCAATCCGGCCAGGACTCCAAACACCACCTGGATAACGAGCGAGGCGAAGAGGATCGGCTTGCGTCCGTACTTGTCGCTCAGCTGGCCAAAGATGATGCTGCCCACGAGGACGCCCAGCATGAAGAGGGAGTCACTGGTGGCAGCCAGGAAGCCGCGTCCGCAGACGAGATTCCACTCGGTCACGGCGCTGTTGAGGTACTTGCTCTGGTCGTACACATATCGGTCGCAGCTCCGCGTGTCGTTTGTGGTCCTGACCAGGCTCCCGTTCAGGTACTCCTCGCTGTACGTCACATCGTAATACTCACACACCTCGCCGGGGGGATAGGAGATGTTCCACAGGTGGTGCGGCAGCTCGTATTGGGAGCCATTGCCCGGTGAATCGTCCTCGAAGGGCAGGGCGCAGCGGAAGTCGGGCTTTGCCAGGAGAAAGACGCCAGCCAGCTTATGGAAGGCCACCGGAATGGACGTGAGGCAGATGAGGAAATAGATGATCTTCTGGTAGCGCCCAAAGTCGCCCAACTTGATGATAGCCTCGTCGTACCCCATGGCGGACTCGCGGATTCGATTCGATGCGAGCGGAGCGAAGCAGCTGTTGTGTCCCGTCGGCGGTCGGCGGGGCTATGATTCACACTGAGGAGCCGCTAGATTCGGGCTCGCTTTTTAGCGTACTGTCGCGTGATGTTCTTTGGCGCTCAGCAGCAATCCCCAAGCGAGAGGCCGCGCTGCTCATCCAGTGCTGCTATGACGGTGACGTGTACTTTGCTCCGGCGGCGGTCTCCGACTTTGGAGAGCGTTGGCAACACAAGAACGACGAGACGACGCACCGACCGGCAGATAACGTAGAATTCTCTTTAACAGCAATTATTGCCTAACACGTGTTGCTCTGAAACAAACGATGGAGCGCAAAGAGGAAGCCGAAACGGAAACACAAAGCCAAAAGGGAACCGAATAGCGTAGAAAGACAATAAACCGACGCTATCTTACTCCTCTACAATATTTCATCAAACGCCGCGACCGGTGCGTCACCTTTGGCAAACGGAAAAGAAATGAACTGCGAATCCGGGGCTGCAACTGCAGAGACGTTGGAGAGACATATTGGTCGAGTATATAAAGAGATATAGAGAAACATGGCCAACAAACACCATCACACATTGTACGTATGTAGCTCTCTGGCCCTCAGATATGTTTATATGCTGACAACAACAAAAAAATCCCCCCCTCCATAATGGACGGCTACTCCGAGCGCCGAATCTTTTCATGCCCTTGCTGATACAATGATACAATTTATATTCTCTTTAAGTTATATTCCCTTAAATGAAACTGCAATACTTTCTTGGATGACATTCCTCAATATTTTATAAGAGCTATATGATTTAGTAAGTCGTTCCAACCGATTAAGAAAATTCGGAGTCCCTACCATCAGATGTTACCAACATCGTACCCAATTCCAATATACCCTTTCCTTAAGGGTATACAAACACTAACGAAATTTGATGAATGTTACCGGCTGCCTGCAAGTTAACGTACCCAATTCCATTGAGCTCTTATACGAGTTGTAAACAATCTTTGGTTTTCCAAAACGAAAACAATTTCAATCTTGGGCCTCCGCCTAATTGATTTCTAAGATGTACAATCTCAAGCGCCCCCGCCGCAATCCCATTCTTTGACACTCGCCTAAATGGAAAACCAATGTTTGCCCACACCCGGCTTCTCATAAACAATCTCACTCCCGGCTTTCTGCAGATCCTGCACTTTAGGCCTTTTACAGTTCTCTCTTTGGATGACGAAATCTAATACTCGGGATGGCGAAATCAATTGAAATGTTTATAGAAAAACGATTCCCGAAAGGGATCAACGATGCAAAGATCAGAAAGTTCAAATCAGTCTTGATCCAGCAGCGACACCGCAAAGTCTAGCTAAATATTAAGATCGCGCAATCCCTTGGCCCGGAATTCCTTTGTGACCCTCTACTTAAATCTATATCAGTGAAGTTCGAAGTAAAATAAAAACTTTTTAAAAACACAATCCGCTACCGCAGTTGTTTAATTGGCGCCCAACGTGGGGCGACGTTGTCTAAAAAGCACCGAATGATAAAAGTGTTGCGTCGTGCCGAAACCCGAAGGACAATTAATTAATGGAATAAATCCTTCAAAATTAAAAACGCGGAGTGACTGTGTGATATAGATAAAAAAAAGTGAGATAAAAAGGAAACAAACCGGAGCTTAGGGTGTGCAAAAACAAATACAAATACAAATACAAATACAAATACAAATACAAATACAAATACAACGCAAAATACAAATAAAACAAAAAGCTAATCAAGGCAATTCGTAAATACAAAAAAAACCAAAGAAACCCAAAGTTTTTAAAAAAACAAAACCAACAAAACCGACAAAACCAAAATACAAAGAAAGTGAAACGATCAGCGAAGCCAAAGAAGGAAGACCCCCAGAAGACCCAGCTGAGCAAAGAAATTTAAGAAGGAAGACCCGTTCGAAGATCTGCCAAACTAAGAAGGACGACCCCTACCGGATATTTCGTGAGCAAGAGTTGTATTAATAAATATATAAGTTCAATTAGGATATATAAGATTATAAAAACTAACATATAAGAAAAATTAAAAGTGGATCAGCTAACTTTAGATTTTGAAAAACTAAAAATGATTAACTCTCAAGCAAGGACCGATCTCACAGCAGATCTGGTCAAACAATTGATAGCACTTCAAATTTCACAAGTACAAGAGCAAATTGTAAATTTAAAACAACAAATAGAAACTAAATCCGATCAGGTATCGGATTATCAGGCAGAAACAATAGACGAGACAATAAGAGACGACACCACATTGAAGGTAATAGAATCCCTACCAATTTTTAATGGTGGATTAAACCAATATGTAGGATGGAGGGAAGCTGCAGAAACTGCAGTGAAGTTATATAAGAAAGGAAGTAAGCAATATTATATTGCATTAACAATTTTGAGAAACAAAATAACAGGACCAGCACATGACGCACTGACCAACCACGGGACAGTTCTAAATTTTGATGCCATACTTTCACGGCTTGACTTTGTTTACAGTGACAAGAGACCTATTTACATAATAGAACAGGAATTAAGCGTTCTCCGACAAGGGAACCTTTCAATTATAGATTTCTATAACGAGGTTAACAAGAAAATGACCTTGTTAATAAATAAGACAATAATGACTCACGGAAAGGACAGTGAGATCACCAAGGAATCAAATAAAAAAATTAGAGACAATGCCTTACGCATTTTTGTCACTGGCCTAAACGGCGGCATTGCTGAAATCCTATTTTCATTGAATCCCCCAGATTTACCGAATGCCTTAGCAAAGGTACAGGAATTGCAATCTAATAACATTCGGGCCCAATTTGCCTACCAATTCAGCGGTCCCAGAAATTCAGGGAATAATAATTTTAATACCTTAAGATTCAACCAACGACAACCTAGGACTAACAGTTCACCATTCGACCAAAAAAGGGATTTGCAGAGGAATAACATGTCTTGGGGACAACCCTATTTCTTGGGTAATAGACAACAAAATCAGGCCCCAGAACCAATGGAGGTAGACGAATCTATACAAATCCGGAACCGACAGAACAGCAATCAATTCAGGGGAAATAATAACAATAGAAATTATCGGGAGAATACTAACGGTTATTTTAGGAGAAATAATAACAATTATAGCCAAGCCCAGCATTTTAGGGCAAACGTAGTCCCGAATAATCAGTCTAACGACAATCCAGCGCAGAAACGAAAACTAAACGAAATGTCGGAACAACCGGCTAATAAAGCAATGAGGATAAATAACATTGAGGAGGATCATTTTTTAGATCAGCCCCCGAAGTAGGTCTGCCCTACCTAAAAAGAGTAGACAAAAAAATAAACAGAGAATTAAAAGTTTTGATAGATACGGGAGCAACTTCCTGTTATATAAAAAAAGGAATTTACGACAATAAAAATGAATTACCAATCTATAAGAAAGTTGCTACAGTGAATGGGTTTTCAATAATTAAATATTTCCATAATATAACAATTTTCAACACAAAGCAAGTGTTTTATGAAATAGATGGAATGGAGGCAGATTTACTAATAGGATTTAACCTATTAAAGAAAATCGGAGCGGTTATTGATACAGGAAAGGGGACTTTAAGTTATAAAGACAATGAGGAGAAACTAATATATGACGAGGTCCTTTCTTTAAACAAATTAACCTTTATAGAAGGAAAAACCATCCTTCCGTTGAAGGAATATATAATAAAAAAATATTTTGAAGAAGAAAAAGAAATGAAAAGCGATTCAGTAAAGGTAGAAGGAAGTTTATATAGCTTGGGATCAAAAAATCCTGAGCACGCCGACGAAGAATTATCCGTCAATAGTTTGGGATTCAAATATCCTGAGCCCGCCGTCGTTGAATTATCCGACATCCAAAGTTTTAATAGTTTGGGATTAAAATATCCTGAGCACGCCGTCGTTGAATTATCCGACACTAAAAGTTCGAATAGTTTGGGATTAAAGAATCCTGAACACGCCGTCGTTGAATTATCCGACAATAAACAATTTAAAAGTTTGGGATGCAAAAATCCTGAACGCGCCGTCGTAGAAATATCCGACATTCAAAATTATGCAAATTCTGAATTGAAAAAAATGAAATTGTATAACACAATAACCTACAAAGAGGACAATTTAGAAAATCTCAGAGAGAAAATGGTATCTATCATCGAAGAAGACCATGCCAATATAAATTTACAGTTACCGTTCAGAACGGATATAAAAGGAGAGATTAACACTGAACACGATAGACCGGTATATGGCAAGCAGTATCCATACGCTTATTCGGTTAACGATTTCGTTAATAACGAAATAAGTAAAATGTTAGATGAAGGTATAATCAGACCTAGTAAAAGCCCATATAATTCACCGGTAATAGTAGTACCAAAGAAGGGAGTAAATGAGGACGGAACTCCTAAGCATAGATTAGTAATAGACTTTAAGAAACTTAATGAAAACACTATACCGGATAGATACCCTATGCAAGATCCTTCAGTAATCCTTGCCAATTTAGGTAAAGCGAAATATTTCTCGGCCATTGACTTAGAGTCAGGTTTCTATCAGATTTTAATGAGGGAATCAGATATTGAAAAAACATCTTTTTCCATAAATAACGGCAAATATGAATTTCTAAGAATGCCTATGGGATTGACGAACGCTCCCAGAATTTTCCAAAGGGCAATGGACGATATACTTAGAGAACAAGTTGGGAAAACTTGTCACGTTTATATGGACGATATAATAATATTTTCAAAAACTATAGAACAACATTATAAAGATCTAATTCATATAATTCAGATATTGCAAAACGCTAACATGAAAATTTCACTTGAAAAGTCTAAATTCTTTCAATTGGAAACCAAATTTCTGGGATACATTGTTTCCCAAAATATCATTAAAACAGATCCAGACAAAATCTCCACAATACAAAACTATCCAATTCCTAAAAATATCAGAGAGCTACGTAGCTTCTTAGGACTAACAGGGTATTACAGAAAATTTGTCCGAAATTATGCCACAATTGCCAAACCTTTAACAAAATATCTGAGCGGAGTAAATGGGAAAGTTTCACGAAGGGCATCCAAGAAAGCATTAATACAGCTGGATGAACCAGCAATTGGAGCATTTAATAATTTAAAGGACAGTTTAATAGCACATATTGAATTAGTACAACCAGATTACAATAAAAAATTCACATTAACCACAGATGCATCGGACATAGCAATAGGTGCAGTTTTGTCGCAAGATGGGAATCCCATAACATTTATTTCTAAAACTTTAAGTAAAACCGAGCAATTATATGCTACTAATAAAAAAGAATTATTAGCTATTGTATGGGCATTAAAAAATTTGCGAAATTATTTATACGGAGTGAGTGGAATTGAAATACATACAGATCACCAACCTTTGTCCTTTGCAAT